CTCCCAGTTCGTCCCAATCTCCTCCCAGTCCCTCCCAGTGCCTCCCAATCCCCTCCCAGTTCGTCCCAGTTCCCGCCCAGTTCGTCCCAATCCCCTTCCAGTGCCTCCCAGTCGCTCCCAGTCCCTCCCAGTTCCTCCCAGTTCCCTCCTAGTCCCTCCCAGTTCTTCCCACTCCCTCCCAGTGCCCCCCAATCCCCTCCCAGTCCCCTCCCAGTTCGTCTCTGTTCCCGCCCAGTTCATCCCAGTCCCTCCCAGTTCGTCCCAATCTCCTCCCAGTCCCCTCCCAGTCCCCTCCCAGTTCAACCCAGTGCTTCCCAGTTCCCTCCCAGTGCCTCCCAATCCCCTCCCAGTCCCCTCCCAATTCGTCCCAGTCCTCTCCCAGTTTATCCCAGTCCCCTCCCAGTCCCTCCCAGTGCCCCCAATCCCTCCCAGTCCCTCCCAGTCGCTCCCAGTTCATCCCAGTTCCTCCCAGTTCACCTTGATCCCCTTCCAGTCGCTCCCAGTCCCTCCCAGTGCCCCCAGTCCCCTCCCAGTCCCTCCCAGTCGCTCCCAGTCGCTCCCAGTGCCCCCCAATCCCTCCCAGTCCCTCCCAGTCCCTCCCAGTTTGTCCCAGTCCTTTCCAATCCCTCCCAGTCCCTCCCAGTGCCCCCAATCCCCTCCCAGTCCCTCCCAGTGCCCCCAATCCCCTCCCAGTCCCTCCCAGTCCCTCCCAGTCCCCCAATCCTCCTCCCAGTGCCTCCCAATCCCTCCCAGTCCCTCCCAGTCGCTCCCAGTTCATCCCAGTTCCTCCCAGTTCACCTTGACCTCAGTCCTCCCAGTCGCTCCCAGTCCCTCCCAGTGCCCCCAATCCCCTCCCAGTCGCTCCCAGTCCCTCCCAGTTCCTCCCAGTGCCCCCAATCCTCTCCCAGTCCATCCCAGTCCATCCCAGTGCCCCCAATCCCCTCTCAGTCGCTCCCAGTCCCTCCCAGTCCCTCCCAGTGCCTCCCAATCCCCTCCCAGTGCCCCCAATCCCTCCCAGTGCCCTCCCAGTCCATCCCAGTGCCCCCCAATCCCCTCCCAGTGGCTCCCAGTTCGTCCCAGTGCTCCCAGTGCGTTTTTCCCAAACTCTTTTTATTTCTCCCCATTTTTAATGCTGGGTTTTGGGGGAGGGGGCGGGGCCTCCTCCCCCCGTTTGGCCCCGCCCCTCCCGGGGGCGGAGCCTGCGCTCCGATTGGTCCGTCTCGGGTTGGGGCCCCGCCCCTTTCACCCCATTGGCGGAGGGTCAGAAAGGGCAGGGCCTCGCGGGGCAGGGCCTGGAAGGAGGGCAGGGTCAACGGAGAGCCACGCCCCTCCTGGAGCCACAAATTGGGGTTTTGACCCCAAAAATTCACGAAATTCACCCAAAATCCCCAGGACCCAAAAATCCCTCTGGGACCCCCAAAATTCCCCCAAAATCCCCCAGGACCCCCAAATCCCCCAAATCCCCCAAACCCCCAAATTGGGGACCCTCCCCAAAATTTCCCCAGGACCCCCAAATCCCCCAAGGACCCCCAAAACCCCCAGGACCCCCAGATTGGGGACCCTCCCCCAAAACCCCCAGGACCCCCAAATTCCCCACAAAGCCCCCAAATCTCCCCAAATCCCCCCAAACCCTCAGGACCCCCAAATCCTCCCAAAACCCCCAATCCCCAAAATCCCCCAGGACCCCCAAATTCCCCCAAATCCCCCAAATCCCCCAGGACCCCCAAATTCCCCCAAATCCCCCAAAATCCCCCAACCCTCCCCAAATCCCCCAAAACCCACCAGGACCCCCAGGACCCCCAAATTCCCCCAGATTTCCCCAAACCCCCAAATCCCCCAAATCCCCCAAAATCCCCAGGACCCCCAAATTCCCCAAAACCCCCAATCCCCAACAAATCCCCCAAGACCCCCAGGACCCCCAAATTCCCCAAATCCCCCAGGACCCCCAAAATCCCCCAAATTCCCCCAAATCCCCCAAATCCCCAGGACCCCCAAGCCCCCCAATTTTGGGTCCCCCTCCTCACCGTTGGGGGGTTTGGGAGAGCTGAGGGTTCTGAGGGTCTCAGGCTTTCCTCGCAGGATGTCGATCACCTGGGGGGGAGGCGGAGCTCAGCATGGGGGACCCCAAAATCATCCAGCCCAAAACCCCCAAAACCACCCTGGGACCCAAAATCATCCCAAAACCCCCAAAACCCCCAAAATCACCTGGGACCCCAAAACCACCCCGAGCCCCCAAAGCCCAAAACCCCAAAACACCCCCAAAAAATCACCTCCCAGGACCCCCTGGGACCCCCAAAACCACTGGGCTATAAGACCCCCAAACCTCCCTCAGGACCCCAAAATCACCTGGGACCCAACCCAAACAACCACCCATGGACAAATCCTCATGCCCCCAAAGACCCTCCAAAATCCCCTTGAGCCCCAAAAATCACCCTGGAGCCCCAAACCCACTGACCCTCTGAGCCCCCAAAGTCATAACCCCCAAAACCCCATTTAACCCCCCCAAATCTCCTGGACCCCCAAAACCCCCCAAAAATCCTTGGGCCACCAAAACCCCAAAAAGCCACCCTAGGACCCCCAATCCCCAAAAATCACCCTGGCACCCCCAAAACCCCCAAAACCCCAAAAATCACCCCGAGACCCCCCAAACCCCCAAAAATCACACTGAGACCCCAAAAACCCCCAAAACCCACCCTGGGATCCCCAAATACCCAAAAATCCCCGAGACCCCCTCAAACCCCCAAAAAACCTCCTGGGACCCCCAAAAATCACCCTGGGACCCCCAAATCCTCAAAATCCCCAAAATCCCCTCAAACCCCCATTTATCCCCCAAATCCCCTCAAATCCCCAAAAATCCCACTGAGACCCCAAATCCCCTCAAAATCCCATTTAACCCCCAAAATCCCATTTAACCCCCAAAATCCCATTTAACCCCCAAAATCCCCCAATAATGTTCCCAAATCCCCCAAAATCCCATTTAACTCCCCAAACTCCCATTTAACCCCATTTAACCCCAAAATCCCATTTAACCCCCAAAGTCATTTAACTCCCCAAAACTCATTTAACCCCAAAATCCTCCCAAAATCATTTAACCCCCAAAATCCCATTTAACCCCCAAAGTCATTTAACCCCAAAGCCCATTTAACCCCCAAATCCTCCCAAATTCATTTAACCCCCAAAATCCCATTTAACCCCCAAATCCTCCCAAAATCATTTAACCCCTCAAAATCCCATTTAACCCCCAAATCCCATTTAACCCCCAAAATCCCATTTAACCCCCATTTAACCCCCAAATCTCATTTAACCCCAATCCCCAAAACCCCATTTAACCCCCAAAATCCCATTTAACCCCATTTAACCCCCAAATCCCATTTAACCCCCAAAATCCCATTTAACCCCCAAAATCCCCAATATGTTCCAAATCCCCCAAAATCCCATTTAACTCCCCAAAACCCCATTTAACCCCCAAAATCCTCCCAAATCCCATTTAACCCCCAAAATCCCATTTAACCCCAAATCCCATTTAACTCCCCCAAAGTCCCATTTAACCCCCAAATCCTCCCAAATCCTTAACCCCCAAAATCATTTAGCCTCCCCAAACCTCCCCAAAATCCCATTTAACCCCTCATAACCATCCTAAGCCCCCAAATCCCCGACCTGCTGACGCTGCACCTGCGGGGTGTCGTTGTGAAGTTCCTGAGCCACAATCGGCCCCGATCCCCCAAATCCCCAAAACCCCATTTAACCCCCAAAATCCCATTAATGGCAATCCATTTAACCCCATTTAACCCCCAAAATCCCATTTAACTCCCCCAAATCCCTCCTAAATCCCATTTAACCCCCTCAACCATCCTAAACCCCCCAAATCCCATTTAACATTTAACCCCCAAATCCCATTTAACTCCCCATAACCACCCCAAACCCCCAAATCCCCTCCAATCATTTAACCTCCCACCCCTCCAAAATCCCATTTAAGATCCCTAACCCACAATCCCCCCAATCAACCCCCAAGCCCCAAAATCCCATTCTAACCCACTAATCATTTAACCCCAACCCAAAATCATTTAACCCCCATTTAACCCCCAAAATCCCATTTAACCCCCCAAAATCCCATTTAACCCCATTTAACCCACCTCATATCCTAGCCTCCCCAAAATCCCTATAATCCCATTCAACCCCCAAATCCCATTTAACCCCTCATAACCACCCCTAAACCCCCAAATCCTCAAATCGCCTAACCCCCAAAATCCATTTAACCCCCAAAATCCCCCATAACCTCCAAATCCCCCAAAATGCCATTAACCCCCAAATCCCATTTAACCCCAAAATCCTTAGCCCATTTAACCCCCAAATCCCATTTAGCCTCCCAAACCTTCCCAAAATCCATTTGACCCCTCCATAACCACCTAAGCCCAATCCCCGACCTGCGCTGAGGCTGCCACCCCTGCGGGGGTGTCGTTGTGGAGGTTCCTGAGCCCACAATCGGCCCCCGAGCGCAGGAGGGCCTAGGACCCCAGGAAGCCCTCCGGCGGCCGCGTGGAGGGCGGTGCTGCCCCCGTAGGACTGAGCGTTCACGCTGGCCCCGTGCTGGGAAAAAACCCAAAAATTAAATTTAGGGGTTAAGAAACCCTCAGGACCCCAAAATCCATCCAGGACCCCAAAAACCCCCGGGTCAGGAGAGACCCCCCAAAAGCTGCCCCCGTAGGACTGAGCGTTCACGCTGGCCCCGTGCTGGGACAAAAAAAACCCAAAAAAATTAAATTTAGGGGGTCAGGAGACCCCAAAATCCATCCAGGACCCCAAAAAGCCCCCCCGGGTCAGGAGAGCCCCCAAAGCTGCCCCCGTAGGACTGAGGCGTTCACGCTGGCCCCCGTGCTGGGACAAAAAAACCCAAAAATTTAAATTTAGGGGGTCAGGAGACCCCTAAAATTCGAATCGGGACCCCCAAAAACCCCCAGAAACCCCCGGGTCAGGAAGACCCCAAAATCCCCCAAAACCCCCAAAAACACCCAGAACTCCCAGAAGCCCCCATTGCCCCCATAAAAATTTAAATTTGGGAGTTAAGAAACCCTCGGGACCCCAAAAAACCCCCGGGTCAGGAGACCCCCAAAGCTGCCCCCGTGGGACTGAGGCGTTCACGCTGGCCCCCGTGCTGGGGAAAAAAACCCAAAAAAATTAAATTTAGGGGCTCAGGAGATCCCCAAAATCCATCCCGGGACCCCCAAAAAACCCCAGAAACCCCGGGTCAGGAGGCCCCCAAAGCTGCCCCCGTAGGACTGAGCGTTCACGCTGGCCCCGTGCTGGGACAAAAAAACCCAAAAAATTAAATTTAGAGGGTTAAGAAACCCCTCGGGACCCCAAAAACCCCGGGTCAGGAGAGACCCCCAAAAGCTGCCCCCGTAGGACTGAGCGTTCACGCTGGCCCCGTGCTGGGAAAAAAAACCCCAAAAATTTAAATTTAAGGAGTCAGGAGACCCCCAAAATCCATTCAGGACCCCAAAAACCCCGGGTCAGAAGAGACCCCCAAAAGCTGCCCCCGTTCACGCTGGCCCCGTGCTGGGAAAAAAAACCCCAAAAAATTAAATTTAGGGGGTTAAGAGACCCCTAAAATTCGAATCGGGACCCCCAAAAACCCCCCCGGGTCAGGGGAGACCCCCCCAAAGCTGCCCCCGTAGGACTGAGCGTTCACGCTGGCCCCGTGCTGGGAAAAAAAAAACCAAAAAAATTAAATTTAGGGGGTTAAGAAACCCTCAGGACCCCAAAATCCGAATCAGGACCCCAAAAACCCCAGAAACCCCCGGGTCAGAGACCCCAAAACCCCAGAACCCCCAAAGCACCCAGAACCCCAGAAGCCCCCATTTGCCCCCATAAAATTTAAATTTGGGGGGTTAAGAAACCCTCGGGACCCCAAAAACCCCGGGTCAGGAGACCCCCAAAGCTGCCCCGTAGGACTGAGCGTTCACGCTGGCCCGTGCTGGGACAAAAAAACCCCAAAAATTAAATTTAGGGGTCAGGAGACCCCAAAATCCATCCCAGGACCCCAAAAACCCCAGAAACCCCCGGATCAGGAGAGGCCCCCAAAAGCTGCCCCGTAGGACTGAGCGTTCACGCTGGCCCGTGCTCGGGACAAAAAAACCCCAAAAAATTTAAATTTAGGGGTCAGGAGACCCCAAAAATCCGAATCGGGACCCCAAAAACCCCAGAAACCCTCCCGGGTCAGGAGAGACCCCCAAAGCTGCCCCCGTAGGACTGAGCGTTCACGCTGGCCCCGTGCTGGGACAAAAAAAACCCAAAAATTTAAATTTAGGGGGTTAAGAAACCCTAAAAATTCGAATCAGGACCCCAAAAGCCCCGACTCCCGGGTCAGGAAGACCCCCAAAGCTGCCCCCGTAGGACTGAGCCTTCACGCTGGCCCCGTGCTGGAAAAAACCCAAAAATTTAAATTTGGGGGTTAAGAAACCCCTCGGGACCCCAAAATCCATCCCGGGTCAGGAGACCCCCAAAGCTGCCCCACGTGGGACTGGCGTTCACGCTGGCCCGTGCTGGGACAAAAACCCAAAAATTTAAATTTAGGGGCTCAGGAGACCCCAAAATCTGAACCAGGACCCCAAAAAGCCAGATCAGGACCCCAAAACCCCAGAAACCCCCTGGGTCAGGAGAGACCCCAAACCCCTCCCCCAAGCTCCCCCGTTCACGCTGGCCCCGTGCTGGAAAAAAAACCCAAAAAATTAAATTTAGGGGTTAAGAAACCCTCCAGGACCCCAAAAACCCCCGGGTCAGGAAGACCCCCAAAGCTGCCCCCGTAGGACTGAGCGTTCACGCTGGCCCCGTGCTGGGAAAAAAAAACCCAAAAATTAAATTTAGGGGTCAGGAGGCCCTAAGAATTCGAATCAGGACCCCAAAAACCCCAGAAACCCCCGGGTCAGAGAGACCCAAAACCCCAGAACCCCCCAAAAAACACACCCGGGAGCCCCAAAACCCCTCGGGTCAGGAGAGACCCCAAAACACACCCAGGACCCCCAAAATACACCTGGGACCCCCAAACCCCCTCGAGTCAGGAGAGACCCCAAAAACACCCCCAGGATCCCCCAAAATACACCCAGGACCCCCAAAGCCCCCGGGTCAGAGAGACCCCAAAACCCCTCCTGGGTTAGGAGAGACCCCCAAAACACACTCGGGACCCCCAAAACCACACCCAGGACCCCCAAACACACTCAGGACCCCAAAATCACCCCCAGGACCCCAAAATCCCCCGGGTCAGAGAGCCCCCAAATCCCCCAGAACCCCCAAGAACACCCAGACCCTCCAGAAGCCCCCAAAAGTACGGGGATCAGGAGACCCCTCAGGACCCCCAAAATCCGACCCGGGACCCCAAAAGACCCCCGGGTCACGGAGACCCCCAAGACCCCCAGGGTCCCCAAATCTCCCCAAAAGCCCCAAAATCACCCCAGAGCCCCCAATCCCCTCAAATCCCCCAAATCCCCCCAGATCCCCCAAGCCCCCTCCAAATCCCCAAATCCCTCAAGCACCCCCAAACCCCCAAATCCCTCAAGATCCCCAATCCCCCTCAAAATCCCCAAATCCCCAAAATCCCCCAACCCCCAAGCCCCTCAAATCCCCTCAAATCCCCCAAATCCCCAAATCCCCAAATCCCCTCAAACCCCCAAATCCCCCAAATGCCCAAAATCCCCCAAATCGTCTCAACCACCCCCAAGCCTCCCCAAGTCCCCTCAAATCCCTCAAACCTCCCCAAACCCCCAAGTCCCCCAAGCCCCTCAAATCCCCCAAACCCCCAAATCCCTCAAACCCCCAAACCCCTCAAATCCCCCAAATCCCCCAAAATCCCCCATCCCACCTGCCTGCAGCTCCACCATCTCCAGGTTGTTTTTTTCCACCGCGTGGAGCAGCGGGGACCGCCCGCTCTTGATGTCCTGGGGGGGTCAAAAATCCCCAAATTTGGGGGTCAGGACCCCAAAACTCCCCAGGACCCCAAAATTCAGGACCCCCAAACTCCCCAAATTCCCCTAAAGCCCACCCAAAATGCCCCAAATCCACCCAAAATCGCCCCTAAAACACCCCCAAACTCCTACTCTTGATGTCCTGGGAGGGTCAAAAACCCCCAAATTTGGGGGTCAGAGACCCCAAAACTCCCCAGGACCCCCAAAATTCCAGGACCCCCAAACCCCCAAAATCCCCCAAAACTTACCCAAAATCCCCCCAAAATGCCCCAAATCACCCAAAATCCACCCCCAAACTCCCGCTCTTGATGTCCTGGGGTCAAAACCCCCAAATTTGAAGGTCGGGACCCTCAACCCCCAGGACCCCCAAAATTCCAGGACCCCCAAAACCCCCAAAATTCCCCAAAACTTACCCAAAATGCCCCAAACTCCCCAAATCCCCAAATCTCCCCCAATCCCCCTAAACCCCCAAATCCCCCAAATCCCCCCAAATTCCTCAAATCCCTCCAGAATCCAACATAGACCCCAAATCTCCCCAATCCCCTCAAATCCCCCAAATCCCCCAGGATCCTTCAAACCCCCAAATCCTCAAATCCCCTCAAATCCCCCAAACTCCCCCAAATCCCCAATCCCCCAAATCCCCCTAAGCCCCTCAAATCCCCCTAAACCCCTCAAATCCCCCAAACCCCTCAAACCCCCAAATCCCCCTCAACCCCCAAATCCCCCAAATCCCCTCAATCCTCCCAAATCCCCCAAATCCCGTCAACCCCCAAACCTCCCTCAAATCCCCTCAAATCCCCCAAATCCCCCAAATCCCCCAAACCCCCAGGATCCTTCAAACCCCTCAAATTCCCCCAACCCCCCAAATCCCCCAAATCCCCCAAACCCCCAAATCCCCTTAAGCCCCCAAACCCCCAAATCCCCCAAATCCCCCTACCACGGCATCCACGTCAGCCCCGTGTTCCAGCAGCACCAGGACATTTCGGGGACCCCCGACCCAACAGCCACGTGCAGGGGTCAGACCTGGGGGAGAAATTGGGGGCTCAGGACCCTCCCAGACCCTCCCCCATCTCCCATTCCATTTTGGGGGGCTGCTGGGCAGGAAAACCCCAAATTGGGGGCTTTTTCTCTCCCCCAAATTTGGGGTCTTTCTCCCCTTTTAGAGCCCCCAAAATCTCCCCAAATCCCCCAAGATCCCTAAATTCCCCTCAAGACCCCCAAAACACCCCAAAATACCCCCAAAATCCCCAAAATCCTCCTAAAATCCCTCAAGACCCCCAAAATCCCCCAAATCCTCCCCAAGACCCCAAAATCCCCAAAATCCCCCAAATCCTCAGACCCCCAAATCCCCCAAATCCCCCAGGACCCCTAAATCCCCAAAGTCCCCAGATCCTCGAGCCCCCCCAGATCCCCCAGATCTCCCAGATCACCCAAGATCCCCGGACCCCCAAGATCCCCCAAGGCCCCTCAAGGCCCCTAAGTCCATCCCCACAAGATCCCCAGGACCCCCAAGATCCCCAGATCCTCTCCCAGGACCCTGAGTCCCCCAGGTTGCCCCCAAGGTTCATCCCCAGATCCCTCAGACCCACCCCAAAGTCCCCCAGATTTCCCAAGATCCCCCAGATCCCTAGATTTGCTCCAAAATCCCCAGATTTCCCCAGGACCCCTCCAAAACCCCCAGATCACCTCCAAAATCTCCCCAAGACCCCGAAAATCCCCAGATTCCCCCAAAATCCCCCAAATCCCCCAAATCCCTCAAGACCCCCAAATCCCCTCAAAACCCCCAAATCCCCCAAATCCTCAACCCCCAAATCCCCTCCAACCCCCAGACCCCCAAAACCCCCAAAATCCCCCAAATTCCCCAACCCCCCCAAATCCCCCCAAACCCCCAACCCCCAAAATCCCCCAAACCCCCCAAACCCCCAAACCCCCCAAATTTTCGGGTGTGTGGCATCCCCTCACCCTCATAATCCCGGGCCTGCAGGTCCAAAGGGGGGGTGGTCCCGGGGGTCCCCCCGGGGGTCCTGAGGAGCTCGCGCAGGAGGCGGGGGCGTGGCCTGGCGCTGGCCCCGCCCCCCGGCAGGTGAGGGGCACAGGCCAGGTGAGCGGCCGTGCGACCCAAGCGGTCCGGGGCCATCGGGGACGCCCCGTGGGCCACCAAGAGCCTCACCAGGGCCACCTGGCCCGTGATCACCGCCAGGTGTAGCGGGGTCTGGGGGAGGGGCCAAGGGGGGCGTGGTCAATTGTGGGCGTGGCCAGGTGAGGAATTTCCTCTCTGGGCCACTAAAATCCACCCCTGGCCACCAAAACCCTCCCTGGGCCACCAAAACCCTCCTTGGGGCCACCAAAATCCCTCCTGGGCCCGTGGGGACCACCAGGTGTGATGGGGTCTGGGGGCGGGGCCAAAAAGGGGCGTGGTCAATTGTGGGCGTGGCCAGGTGGAGAGACCACACCTCTGGCCACCAAAACCCTCCCTGGGCCACCAAAATCTCCCCTGGGCCACCAAAACCCTCCCTGGGGCCACCAAGAGTCACCCCCAGGGCCACCTGGCCCGTGGGGACCACCAGGTGTGATGGGGTCTGGGGGAGGGGCCAAGAGAGGGCGTGGTCAATGCTGGGCGTGGTCAGGTGAGTAAATCCCTCCCTGGGCCACCAAAATCTACCCTGGGCCACCAAAACCCTCCCTGGGGCCACCAAAACCCTCCCTGGGGCCACCAAGAGCCACCCCCAGGGCCACCTGGCCCGTGATCACCACCAGGTGCAGCGGGGTCTGGGGGAGGGGCCAAGGGAGGGCGTGGTCAATTGTGGGCGTGGCCAGGTGGGCAATTTACCCCAAAATCCATCTTTGGCCACCAAAACCCTCCCTGGGGCCACCAAGAGTCACCCCCAGGGCCACCTGGCCCGTGATCACCGCCAGGTGTAGTGGGGTCTGGGGGAGGGGCCAAGAGAGGGCGTGGTCAATTGTGGGCGTGGCCAGGTGGGGAGATCCCACCCCTGGCCACCAAAACCCTCCCTGGGCCACCAAAACCCTCCCTGGGGCCACCAAAACCCTCCCTGGGGCCACCAAAATCCCCCCTGGGCCTGTGGGGACCACCAGGTGTGATGGGGTCTGGGGGAGGGGCCAAGAGAGGGCGTGGTCAATTGTGGGCGTGGCCAGGTGGGGAGATCCCACCCCTGGCCACCAAAACCCCTCCCTGGGCCACCAAAACCCTCCCTGGGGCCACCAAGAGTCACCCCGGGGTCACCTGGCTCGTGGGGACCACCAGGTGTGATGGGGTCTGGGGGAGGGGCCAAGGGAGGGCGTGGTCAATTATGGGCGTGGCCAGGTGAGCAGTTTCCCCAAAAATCCATCTTTGGCCACCAAAACCTTCCCTGGGCCACCAAAACCCTGCCTGGGCCACCAAGAGTCACCCCCAGGGCCACCTGGCCCGTGGGGACCACCAGGTGTAGTGGGGTCTGGGGGAGGGGCCAAGGGAGGGCGTGGTCAATGCTGGGCGTGGCCAGATGAGTAAATCCCTCCCTGGGCCACCAAAACCCTCCCTGGGCCACCAAAACCCTCCCTGGGGCTGTGGGGACCACCAGGTGTGATGGGGTCTGGGGGAGGGGCCAAGGGGAGGGCGTGGTCAATTGTGGGCGTGGTCAGGTGAGTAAATCCCACCCCTGGCCACCAAAATCTCCCCCGGGCCACCAAAACCCTCCCTGGGCCACCAAAATCCTCCCTGGGCCACCAAAACCCTCCCTGGGGCCACCAAAATCCCCCCTGGGGCTGTGGGGACCACCAGGTGTGATGGGGTCTGGGGGCGGGGCCAAAGGAGGGTGTGGTCAATTGTGGGCGTGGCCAGGTGGGGAGATCACACCCCTGGCCACCAAAATCTCCCCTGGGCCACCAAAACCCTCCCTGGGCCACCAAAATCTCCCCTGGGCCACCAAAACCCTCCCTGGGGCTGTGGGGACCACCAGGTGTGATGGGGTCTGGGGGCGGGGCCAAAAGAGGGCGTGGTCAATTGTGGGCGTGGCCAGGTGAGCAAATCCCTCCCTGGGCCACCAAAACCCACCCCGGGCCACCAAAATCTCCCTGGGGCCACCTGGTCTGTGGGGACCACCAGGTCTGGGGGAGGGGCCAAGGGAGGGCGTGGTCAATTGTGGGCGTGGCCAGGTGAGCAATTTCCTCTCTGGGCCACTAAAATCTCCCCCGGGCCACCAAAATCTCCCTGGGGCCACCAAAATCCCCCCTGGGCCACCAAAACCCCCCCTGGGCCCGTGGGGACCACCAGCTGTGATGGGGTCTGGGGGAGGGGCCAAAAAGGGGCGTGGTCAATTGTGGGCGTGGCCAGGTGAGCAATTTTCCCCCAAAATCCCCCCAAATATCTCAAATCTTCCCCAAACCTCCCCAAATCCCCCCAATGTCCTCAAAAATCCCAAATATCCCAAATCCTCCCAAACCCCCTGAGTGTCCCCAATGTCCCCAAATCCCCCCAAATTCCCCATTTATCCCAAATACCCCCAATGTCCCCAAATCCCCATTTACCCCAAATCCCCCAAATCCCCCAAGTCCCCCAATGTCCCCAAATATCCCAAATATCCCAAATCCCCCAAATCCCCCAAATTCCCATTTACCCCAAATCCCCCAAATATCCCAAATCCCCATTTACCCCAAATCCCCCAAATCCCCCAATATCCCAAATCCCCATTTACCCCAAATCCCCCAAATCCCCCAATATCCCAAATCCCCATTTACCCCAAATCCCCCCAAATCCTCTGATTGTCCCCAATGTCCCCAATGTCCCCAAATTTCCCCATTTACCCCAAATCTCCCCAAATCCCCCCCAAATCCTCCCATTTACCCCCAAATCCCCCAATATCCCCAAATTCCCCAAATCCCCCAAATCCCCCAAATCCTCTGATTGTCCCCAATGTCCCCAAATTTCCCCATTTACCCCAATCCCCCATTTACCCCAAATCCCCCAAATCCTCCTAAACCCCTGAGTGTCCCCAACCCCCAATGTCCCCAATCCCCCAATATCCCCATTTACCCCAAATCCCCAAATTCCCCAAGCCCCTGAGTGTCCCCAATGTCCCCAAATCCCCATTTACCCTAAATCCCCCAAATCCCCCAAATCCCCAAATCCCACAAGTCCCCATTTACCCCAAATCCCCCAAATCCCCCTAACCCCTCACTTCTAACCCCCAGTGTCCCAAATGTCCCCAAATCCCCCATTTACCCCAAATCCCCCAAATCCTCCCATTTACCCCAAATCCCCCAAATCCTCCCATTTACTCCAAATCCCCCAAACCCCTGAGTGTCCCCAATGTCCCCAACCCCTTTGTCCCCAAATCCCCCAAATATCCCAAATCCCCAAATCCCCCAATATCCCCAAATCCCCCAACCCCCTCACCCCTCATCCCCCAACCCCCAGTGTCCCCAAATGTCCCCAAATCCCCCATTTACCCCAAATCCCCCCAAATCCCCGAAGTCCCCATTTACCCAAAATACCCCGAAATCCCCAAATCCCCTAAACCCCTGAGTGTCCCCAATGTCCCCAATGTCCCCAACCCCCTGATTGTCCCCAAATATCCCAAATTCCCCAAATTCCCCATTTACCCCAAATACCCCAATGTCCCCAAATCCCCCATTTACCCTAAATCCCCCAACCCCCAATATCCCAAATCCCCCAAATCTCCCCAATATCCCTGAGTGTCCCCAAAGCCCCCAAATTCCCCATTTACCCCAAATCCCCTAAACCCCTGAGTGTCCCCAATGTCCCCAACCCCCTTTGTCCCCAAATGTCCCCAAATGTCCCAAATCCCCCAATATCCCCATTTACCCCAAATCCCCCAAATCCCCCAACCCCCTAGATCCCCTGATTGTCCCCAATGTCCCCAACCCCCTTTGTCCCCAAACCCCCAAATCCCCAAACCCCCAAATCCCCCAAAAACCCCCTGACCTGGCGCAGGTTGTTGTAGACGTCCGAGGTCCTCCGCCCACATGGCAGAGGGACACGGGGACTGACAGCG